TGGCTGGCCTCGATGATATCACGGATTGTTCATTTTCACGCGTGACTATCACCGGCAGCAGATCTGGTCTGTTAAATGCATTATCTTTGCCAACGAATGGAGGCCGACTGCCGAAGGTCCAAGAGCAACTTCCATGGCCTGAAGAACTGTGTTGGGCCAGGTTTTGGGCTGACCAGCTGTTTGACACCTCTAATTGGATGCCAATGCCGGATCGATCGCATTAACACTGAGCTCATAAGATTGATGACGAAGGTTTCCGGACCACCCCAGTCGCACTTCTTGGAGGACTTAGGAATGTCTTAGGAATGTTGCCTCACGAGGTGCGGAGTGTCTCATTTGAAACAAAGTCGACGTAATTCACTCGAAGGATGGCTCTCAAGCACTAGTGGTCACATACCCCAAGTTTTTTTCATCTTCCACACACACATAGTTCAGCATTGGCAGCCATATATAAGGACAGACCGAACGGATGCACAGTACACGCGAATCTTCGATGTCGCATCGGATCGATAGGCACCTTCGAGGGCTTGAGAAAACCCGACGAGCAGTATAGATTCCAGACACATTGTAATCCTTACTGTTTGTATTCGGCAGCAGCCTCATCCCGAAGTGAGAAGAAGACGACTCGATCGCTGGGCCAATACGTTTTGTTGCCTGACGTTTCGACATCCGTCGCAGATTCATCATGAGAGACATTAGCAGGAAACAGGAAACCCGTTTCTGCTTCTGTTTCCTGCTAATATCTCTGATGATGAATCCGCGACGGATGTCGAAACGTCAGGTGACTAAACGTATTGTCCCAGCGATCGAGTCATCTTCTTCTCACTTCGGGATGAGGCTGCTGCCGAATGCAAACGGTAAGGATTACAATGTGTCTGGAATCTATACTGCTCGTCGGGTTTTCTCAAGCCCTAGAGTCGTCTTCTCAATTACTTCCTGAGACTCGCAGCACGTTTTAATCCAACTAGGTTCCCTGCTAGCGACCCATCCTGTCAGCAGACACCTTGTTTTGGTAGTGGATTTGTGTATTTAAGTCCATGTTTAAAGTTTATGCTTAAACATTCAAATTTTCTCCAAACGATATCACTTTTTTTCATGCGGTCTACTTCAACTTGGGTTGGAAAATTATTCCTTAGCACTTGCTTAAAATATTTATTTTGTGAATAAATTTTCTTCGTGGATTTAAATAGTTCCACTGATGCAGTTGTGAAAAAGTTGGCGGGCTCGGTCTGACAGTAAATTTTTATTGGGACTTCTTTAACGTTTTCACCTAGATACTGAACGGAGGCAGTTAGTTTAACCACCAATTTATCGTACTAGTACGCCTTAATATTTTGGCGCAATGGGACCGCTTATATGTACGCGCAATCAAACAGTAGATTTTTCGTTAACTTTGCATGTTTTCACCGCCCGGCAGATATCGGTTACGATCGGTGGGTTCACGTCGATATCGATGATATATTTGTGGCCAGTCCTGAGAGCCAACTCTACCCCAATGATGTAAAGGTGAGTTCATACCTTATTTCGGTAGCTTTTTTTTCTACACGTTAGCTTGTGGTCCACGTCTTAACTGAACTCGTGACTGGTTACTGGCTTTGAGAGGGGCGATCTCCTGTCTTAATCTTTCCCGAAGCGTTTTAATAGTTAGATTCCTTCCCTGCTCCGCTTCCTCTTCTTCCTCCTCCTCCTTCTCTTCCTCCTCCCCCCCTTTCCCTCCTCCTCCTCCTCCTACTTATCATCCTCCTCTTGCATCTTCTTTTTCTCCAGTACCGTTGCCTCATATATCGACTATGTTGGTTGGTCGCCTTGCAATATGTCGATTAATCGCCTAGTTATCAGGATGCGGCCAAAGCCGTGGCTTGGAAGGTTGTTAGCTAGCGGGATACCTTGGACCTCGCAGTCAACCCAGTGTGTGTTTGTGTGGATTGTCCATCTAGTGGACCTTGCCTGTCAGACTGCGATGA